GAGTAAGTTCTCCTACCACCTTGTGGGATATGGAGATTGGACACAGGTCATCGGGTCTGTGCACAAAAGCCTCCATCTTGAATAAAATGAAATACAAGTCCTAGAGCCCAGCCCCAGCAATTCTTCAGGTTATTTTGTGGTGGGACTTCAGCATCTGTACAGTTCTGCATAGCCTGTACTGTGTAGTCAGTGATAGGATGCACTGTCCGAGGGGAAAATGTTTTCTGCACACTCTTTCATTCTTGCTAAGAATAATGGTATATGCTTATGATCCCACTGTTCCGGAGCTTGAGACAAGAGAATATAGAGTTCAAGGTTAACCTGGGCTACATAGTAAATTCCAGGTCAGTCTAGGCTATACTGAGATCTTGTCTCACAAATAAAGCCAGATGAATTCATTCATTTCTTAAATAATCAAATGTTATACACTCACAATCTAAAAATGATTACCATTTTACAATTACCAAGTTACAATCAGTGTAGAAAGCCTTTTATCATGTAGTGCTAGAGATTTTTTTTTTAACCTTTGTATTTCTAGCCATGAGTAAGTAGCTCAAAAAAGCTTGTTGTTCTCTGCCAACTCCCCTATCTTTTTAGTTATCATTGATTAAAGTCTGTTAGAGATTCTTACAGCCTGAGAGAATGAAGAGCTGAGTAGTCGAGGTCATTCTGCCCCTGCTGATCTGAGAGTGCAATCCAGCCAGAGATCCTTCTAAACAGATAGTGACTAGCGTGCTAACCGAGTTATAAACAGACTAGTGTGCACTTGCTTTTCTTAGTTTGAACTAACCCAGAACTAAGTTACTACACTCTAGAAAGTAGAGAATGCTTTTATGGTCTCATAACTATCAGTGCTAATAAGCCTATTGTTGAATATTACTTTGGGGATGAGGGGTTAATGCTTGGATGGGGAGGATTGGGGTGAATATGATTAAAATATTTTGTATGCATGTATGAAATACTCAAAGAATAAAATATTAAAGTACTAATTTGTTAATAAAGGTTTTTTAAATGAGCCACTCTTTGCTTCTCAAAATAAATACATAATGAGGGGTAAATCATTTTTCTACAACCAATTTTACATCTTTTTTTTTTCCTACAAAAATCTTTTTTGTTAATTTTTTTTAAAGATCGGCTCGAGCCAGCCAGCCTTGAACTCTCTGTGTAGCCCTGTTTAACACTGAACCTCCTGCTTCAGCTTCTCAATCCTGGACTACAAATGTGGACTGTAGTGTGTGTAGCCCTGGCTGTCCTGGAACTCAGTTAGTAGACCAGGGTCGCCTTGAACTCAGAGATACTACTTCTGCCCCCAGAGTTCTGGGATTAAAGGCGTGCACCACCACCTGGCTTAGATTTTTTATTGTTTTATTATTTTAGGTATGTGGTTGTGTTGCCTGCATATATGTCTTGGCGTGTGTGTGTGTGTGTGTGTGTGTGTGTGTGTGTATGTGTGTGTGTGTTGTCTGAGGATTGATTCAGAAGGGTTACCAGTGGATGTTTGTTTTTATGGCTTTGGTGGTACAGTGGCTGTCTAAAACTGGGGTAACCATTGCTTGAAGAAAAAAGGGGGGCAGTAGAACAGAACATAGAGATGGAAAGTGAGGGGGATAGCCAAGAGACAGTATGTTGGAGTGATATGTATATACTCAGTCTTGTCACCACAGAACTGGACATGTTCATAGCAGTCTCCAAACAGTGTTCCTAAGGCCAAAAACATGGCTTTCAGTTGCTGCTCACAGTCGAGGGGGTAGACCCTGGGAGTGTTAAGTTCAGCCAATTTAATTACTAAAATAAAAACATGACTCTTTGGAGGAGTATTACTGAATATAGAGTCTCTTACATTAATAACAGTTTATTTTACATGTATGAGTGCTTTGCATATATATATGTGTGTGTACTATGCATGCCTGATCCCCATGGAGTCCAGAAGAGGGTGTTTAATCCCCCCTGGAACTGGAGTTAAAAAAGGCTGCCGTGTGGGTGCTGGGAAGTGAACCCGAGGTTTTTACAAGAGCAGTAGCCACTGCTCCCTCTCTCCAGCCCCTCATCATGGTTTTTAGGATATAAATGACTAGACGTGAAGTGGAGGGAAAAAAGACCATCACCCTGATCAATAAAGATTAGACCCCACGAGCCAGGCGGTGGTGGCACCCTCCTTTAATCCCAGCACTGGGGGGCAGAGGCAGGCGGATCTCTGAGAGTCTGAGGCCAGCCTGGTCTACAGAACGAGATCCAGGACAGGCACCAAAACTACACAGAGAAACCCTGTCTCGAAAAACCAAAAACAAACAAAGATTAGACCCCACAGTAACAAAAGTTAGCAGATCAAAGATGCAAAAGGTTGTAAGCAAATAGGAAGACTCGCAGCCCAAAAAGACTTCAAAAAGAAAAAGAAAAAACCAAGCCAACACCAAGGCCTAGGGAGGGCATGGTTGCCAAGTTGGGGGTTCAGCACCTTCCTGAGATTCTGGCAAAGGTACTCAAAGGCAGAGAGGTAAAATGCTTGGAGAAGAGCAGGACAAAGTTAAACAAATGTTTAGACCTGAAAGAAGATCTGGGGTCTCATGGAGTAGGTTTAACCAATTAGAAAAGACAGGTCAGTGATGTTGAAGGTGAGTTAATGGACGCTAACGTAGAAATGACCGTGTATGGAAGTTCCTCATGCAGTCTAATCCTCTATTAGTATTTCTGGTCTCTCTTCCCTTCCCATATGGCCCAACTTCATTGTGAGCTAAATGCTCAGACCCTCCAACCTCAGTCATCTCTGCTGTTGGAAAGAGCTCCCTCCAGCTAACTCCAGGCTCCTCTGGGCCCTGCCTGCCTTCCACCCAGAGCTCAGATCTGCAGCTTGCTCAGAGTCCTCCTGACTGCCTCCCTCTTGTCTCTACTCTTGAATCAGAAAGTTTGCCTTGGCCACTGCCTGCGCTTGTGGGCGGTCACATGCTCTCCCGGTCGGCCACCACTGTTCCCTCCTCTCCCCAGGTTCTTGCTTCTCTTCCTCACCTCCTTTGCCTTCCCTCAGTCCCGGTGTTTTCCTCTTTGGTTTGTTTTGGAGGCAGGATTTCTCTGTGCAGCCCTGGCTGTCCTGAAACTCACTCTGTAGACCAGGCTAGCCCTGAACTCAGAGGTCCTCCTGCCTCTGCCTCCCAAGTGCTGGGATTTAAAGTTTCTGCTGTCACCGCTGGGTCTCTATTTTGTTTTATTGTCTGTTTTCCAAGGATTCATACTTTTTTTTGTTTGTACTAGAGTGAACGTAGAAACTCATGCATGCTAGGTACGTCCTCTACCGCTACCTAGACCCCTTTTTAAAAATGATTTTGTATTTTGCCACAGGGAAGGTCTAAGTTTCCCAAATTGGCCTTAAGTTTATGTTCTATCCCAGGCAAGCCTTGAACACCCTGTGACCTCCATGTCCTGGTATCCAGGGCAGCTTTGATTACAGCAGGCCTCTGCCACCCGGCTCGACTCATGCTGAGCTTTTTAAGGCTTTTTTTTTTTTTTCCTCAGTTTGGTCTCACTGTATAGCTCCATGCGCATTTAGAAACTTCAGTCTTGTCAAAGAGGCCTCCCCTCTTGACGCTGCTCCTTCGAGAGTTGTCTCCACCCCTCAACCAAACAGGTCTGCTTCCTTTTCCTGGAGTAGACGCTTTGAACTCGCCGGCTAAGAAACCTCTACTAAGCCAGTTCCTGCGGCTGGCTCTGGTGCTGTGCCTTTTTATCAACACCAAGAACACGGCAGTTACTCTGAAAGTGTTTTCTGAGGAAGCAAATGACATCTTCTAGTAACTCGGCCTAGAGTTCTGAGACTCACCTTTACCTCACAGCCTGTGGTTGACTGCATCCGGTCTGCCGCCAAGCTGTGTCAGCTCTGTGTCTGCTGCTCTGTCTCTTGGGTTCTCTCTATTCTCACTGCCATTCCGTGGTTCCTAGTTGGCTCCTTGACCGACAGACCTGGTGATGATCCGTCTGCTCCAGAGGGTCTCAACCTTCCTAACACTGTGAGCTTTTAATACAGTGCCTCATGGTGTAGTGAGCCCCAGCCATAGAGTTATTTTCACTCTACTTCATAACTAGTTTTCCTGCTGTTATGAATCATAATGCAAGTATCTGTGTTTGCCAGTGGTCTTAGGCGAACCCTAGGAAAGGGGTGTTGACCCCCAAAAAGGGGGTCACGACCCACACGTTGAGAATTGCTGGTCTAGTACTTACTGCACACTTACTATGGGTTCCACTATTAAATTTATTCAGCCTCTTGTTCCCCCTACACACCCTCATTGAGGGTCTCACCATATAGCTCAGGCTGGCGTTAAACTCCAGACCCTTCTGCCCCAGTCTCCTGAGTGCCTACGGGTGTCTTCACATGACAACTCTCAGGAAGATGCTGCCATTATCCATATTCTGTAAGTGAAACCGAGGCCCAGGAAGTTGAGTGTCCTGTCAGGATCACAGACGTAGTGGCAGAGCTGAAACTCTTGAAGTGATTGGATTTCAGAGGCCAGGCTTTCAGTACTCGGCTCTTCCTGCCGCAGAATGAGTACCTGACAGTGGTGTCCTCCAGGAGTGTCCGCCGTAGCTCCTTTCCACACAGCTGGAGCAGCTTCAAGGGCAGCTGGGGTATGCTTGTGCTTAGTATCCTCAGGGAGCTGAGCCAGCCTGTTATTTCCCCCACCTAGACTGAGTTGAATTCTGATATCAGAGTATCACACCCCTCCCAGTAATGTTACTGTTTTATCTGTCTGCCTGTTGAAGTAAGACCAGTTTGAACATCTTAACTTTCACCGTGTTCTCTGGACTTATCTCCAGCTGCCCTGGTGGCACTTTTAACACTCTTGTAATATGATTATTATTCTGTGTTTTAGCTCCTTGCTTAGCCTGTATTCTTGACTTGACATTTATGACTGTCATTTTTTTCTGTCTGTAGCCTAATATAAAACATGCTTTTGAGTGTGTGTGTGTGTGTGTGTGTGTGTGTGTGTGTGTGTGTGTGTTTCAGTGAGTATCTACTGAAGAAATGAAAATTATAACTCACTTAGCCCATTAACCACGAGATCTTTGCATTGCAGCTTTTTTTGTGCTATTTCTCATTTCTGTATGGCTCAATAGCTAGTCATTGCCAATGCACCGTATATACACACATATATGTGTGTATGTGTGTGTGTGTGTGTGTGTGTGTGTGTAAAACTGGTGCAAATGCCTATGATCGAAGAATTTGGTAGCAGTTTCTGTGAAGCTTTTTTTCCCCCTTACATCTGAGTTAAAGTATTACACTTGGAGTCATTTTATTGATTCTAAAGAGTTTTTGTATGCTGAAACTTCAAATATAGGGCTTTTTAAAAAGCTTGTAAATTGGTGGTGTTTTAGAACCAAATTTGGTGATTGTAAGTAGTAACTTTTGATCAAATAACCTTTTAGAATAATACCCACAATTTGCAGTTTTGTTTTTATTTAGAGGATAGGCTCAAGGTTCTGTAGCTTCTGTTTAATTATTTCAGTGATGCTGAAAGTTTTGTTTTGTGTTAGTGACATGAGGAATGACCAGCAAGATGGCTTAGCATACAAAGGCACTTGCTATACAAGTCTGATGGCTTGAGTTTGAGCCCTGGAACCCACACAATAGAGAGCCAATTCTACTATGTTGTGCTCTGACCTTCACCTGAATACCCCTGGTGTGCATGCCCCCATACAAAATAATAATAATAATAATAATAATGCATTTGTAACTGAGATGACTTAGCAGTAAGGATGCTTCTTGACAACCTGAGTTTGAACCCCTGGATCTACATGCTGGAATTAAAGAACCATGACATTTCTGCAAGCTCTCAGTCATCTCCACATGTGTGCTGTGGCATGCTTTTACCCAAACACACATAACCACATATTAAAATTTTCCTGTAGTTTATTTAGTGTTTGCATATGTGTGTACATGAGTGGTACATGGCACCAGGGCTGTTGGCATAGCATGGGTGGGGTGGGGGTGAAATACAGTCTGCCTGAAACTAACTCGGCTGTGTCCTTGCTGCTCACGGTCACACAGTCTGTCTTGGCCAGAACCGGCTTGCACATTCTCATGCATTTTTCCCTTGAGGCTCATTTGCTGTATCTCCATTTTCTTACCATGGAGAATCTGCATCCAGGTATATCTGAGTCTAGCTGAGATGAGATCAGGTTATAGGTTCTTTGTCATGAGCTCCCAGGCCCCATATAAACTGGGGTATGGCTAAGTTCCACACATTTTATGACAGCCAGCAGGCCAGTATCTCCTGAATGTCAGAGGATCTCCAAAGAAAACAGAGTTCTAGTCCAGGTAGGATGGATGCCCATTAGGCTAGAGAGATAGGTTAGGCTTGCAGCCAGGTAGGATGCCCTGTTATTCCCACTTACAAGTAATATTTGAGTAATAGTGTCTATTACAACCCAATTTTCACTTACCTCCTCTAACTCTGAGCCACACATCAGTATCTCATTTCCATCTCTCCAATGAGGAAACATCATTAGAAATATGATCATGCTGGGCATTGGTGGCACATGCCTTTAATCCCAGCACTCCGGAGGCAGAGTCAGGCAGATCTGTAAGTTTTGAGGCCAGCTTGGTCTACAAAAGAGTTCCAGGACAGCCAGAGCTACACAGAGAAACCCTATCTCCAGAAACCGAAAAGGAAAGAGAGAGGGAGAAAGAAGGAAGGATCACAAGATGGGGTGGAATTCAGTAGTGGATTGTTCACCTGGTGTAGATGAGGTCCTAGGCTCATCTCCAGAACCATGAGGAAAGTAGGGTGGGGCTTGCCTAGCATGTGCAAGGCCCTAGGTCTGATCAAGTACATATACACAGAAAAGAAACGTGATTACATAGAAAGGGATGAGCATTTCTTTTACTCATGTATCACTCATACAAAGCTACCTTCTTACTTGGGTTAAAAAAAAAAATGACCTGTCTTACTCTTCAGTAGAGTTTCTGTCAGCTTCATAATGGAAGTCTTTAATGTTAGATAGGGGTGAAGTTAACAGTGGTGAGTATCTTCATTTCAAATTAGGCCTTAGGGGCCTGCCTGGAGAGATGGCTCAGCGGTGAAGAGTCTTTCTAGAGGTCCTGAGTTCAGTTCCCAGCAGCCACACGGTGACTCACAACCATCTGTAATGAGATCTGTTGCCCTCTTCTGGTATGCAGGCAAAACACTGTATACAGTGTGTGTGTGTGTGTGTACACATATTTATCTATGGACAGACACATCTGTACACCCAAAGCATACATACTTGTGTTGATTTTCTCAGAGCCACAATGGATACTGCCAGCCACAGCCTTGTTCTTCTGCAGCAGCTGAACATGCAGCGAGAGTTTGGATTTCTGTGCGACTGCACGGTTGCTATTGGAGATGTTTACTTCAAAGCCCACCGAGCAGTGCTTGCTGCTTTTTCCAACTATTTCAAGATGATATTTATTCACCAAACAAGGTAAGAATGTGCTCTTGTAGATGGAAGAATTTCTAATATCGTGGTATATATATGTCTTACTATAAAATCATTTAAGGGATTGTTATGGGGTTATCCTAATACAAAATTTTAATTAATTTTTTGTATATGAGTAATTAACCTCAGTACATAGTATTTATGGTAGAACATATCAATGGCAACAAGTATAACTAAAATTGATTAAGACAGCCCAGCCAGGTGTGGTGGTGCACATCTTTAATCATACTGCTTGGGAGGGAAAGGCAAATGGATCTCAGAGTTTGAGGCCTCCTTGTCTACAGAGTGAGTTCCAGGCCAGCCAAGGCTACCTAGTGAGACCCTGTCTTGAAGAAACATCACCACCAAAAAAGGTTTAACCGGTACCCAATTCAATCATGTAAATTCCACTGGTGTCCGGGTCTTGGGAGCCTGAGCTACTGACTGGTCCATGCAGGAGTAAACAGCTGATGAGCTGGGCTCCGATGGAGCTGTCTGAAGCGCCAGGTTATTGATGGCTAGTGTAGCAATGTTGCGGTACCACATTGTACCATCACATGTTCCACACCACCAGTCAGAGGTCACTGCTTTTCTCGTGTTTGGTTTGTTTTGTTGCCTTTAATTCTTTTGCATTTTTAAAATTTAGGTAACATGGGAATTCAAATTCTTAGCTCTGGGAAAAGACTAATTTTAGTCTGGCTTTAGTCCATCCTAGAACACCCCGTATTTATTTATTTGTTTGTTTGTTTATAAGTTTTGAGATGGGGTCTCACTAAGGTCCTCCTGCCTCAGCCTCCTGAGGTAGCTGGGCCTATAGGCCGAGCCCCCAGACTTGGTTCCGTGTATAATTGTTGTGTTGTTGTTTTGTTTGTTTTTAAAGGACCTTACATGAAATTGAGGTGTCAAACCTTAATTACATAATTTTTATTTAATTGTTCAGTCATTTAAATATTTCCTAAGTACATATGCTAAGAGATTGAGCTAGACCATAGTAATTTCAATGTCTTCAGGAAATCGATAGTCTGATAGAGAATTAAATATAAAGCAAATAATTTGACCTCTCTGTGTTAGTCACTTTTCATTGCTGTGACAAAATGTGACAAGGATTGTTTGGGCTGCAGTCTCTGCAGCCTCAGGCTTTAGTCCACTGTGGCTGACTCTGCTTTGCTTTTAAGACGAGGAAGGCAGAGATACCATGGAGGAAGGGCATGACAGAAAAGCTGCCCATCCATACTAGGCAGGAAGACAGCAGGAGCCGTGCAGACAGGTCAGGGACGAGGCGAATAGTCCTCGTCCACCCGCCAGTAATGCCGTCACAGTGACTCGTGAGTGGACTGATCCACTGATGAAGCCCGAGTCCTCATGACTCAGTCACTTCCTCAGAGCCCATCCGCTGGCTGCCAAGTCTGTGACAAGGGCCTTTCAGAGGACGGTTCAGATTCACACCCTAGCACTCGGCTTTCTTAGCTGTTAAATGCCAGAACAGTATACTCTCCTTGGGGTACTGAGAGATTAAATGGATTAGTAACATTAAGGTGCCTAGAACAGCCAGGTGTGGTGGCAGAGGCCTTTAATCCCAGCACTCAGGAGGCAGAGGCAGGCAGATCTCCAAGTTGGAGGCCAGCCTGGTCTACAGAGGGAGTTCCAGGACAGCCAGGGCTACACAGAGAAACCCTGTCTTGGAAAACAAAAATGTTAGGAACAGAGCTTTGCTGTTATTAATGTGGTGGTAACGTCAGAGTGTATTCAAAGTAGAAGAGTTCTCACAGACCTGTTTGGAGAAGTTTGAAACAGAGTTTACAAGTCTGAAAAATCAGGAGTCCTTCAGGTGTTGCAGAGGAATGTGAGGAGGTGTACTGCAGTCAGAGGGGCAATGGCATGGATCAGGGTTTACTAGCCAATGCTTGTAGTCCCAACACTCGAGGAACAGAGTCAGGAGGATTACTGTGGGCTATATTGCAAGGGTCAGGCCTGGGCTACATAGTAAGACCCTGTCTCAAAAAAACTCCAAATGAAGGGCTGGGCGGTGGTGGCGCACGCCTTTAATCCCAGCACTCGGGAGGCAGAGCCAGGCGGATCTCTGTGAGTTCGAGGCCAGCCTGGGCTACCAAGTGAGCTCCAGGAAAGGCGCAAAGCTACACAGAGAAACCCTGTCTCGAAAAACCAAAAAAAAAAAAAAAACTCCAAATGAAACAAAAGTGCTATAAAAACATTATAGGTATGAAGTGGACTTGGTCCCCCAGACAACAGAGTAGATGAGGTGGCTAGAAAGTAGCACAGTACAAAGATGGGGTTGGAATGCCAGCCAGCCAGGCAGTGGGAAGTCTTTTCTGCTAGAGAAGTTTTGTCTCTGACGTGACACTGTAGATTACATTCACCGCATTACAAATGCTATGTCCCCTCAGCTTCTGGATTGTGACTTGTGAGTTTAGAAGCTGTGAGCTTCTAAAGCCCCTGTTGTGAGCTAGGTGCTATCCAAACATAGGCATTGTGAAAGTGAGGCCTGCCCTGGGTTGTGTTTGTATTGAGCAGCTAAACTCCTCCAGGTAACGGAATTCTGAATGCATACCCCCAAAAATGCTTGTCACAGAACATGCCAGTGAGCAGACAGCGCCGAGCAAAGAGAGTAAAACCTGAGGAAGGCAGCAAGGATCCCAAAGTCTAGGACTAGAGGGACTAGAGTGCAGTATGCTGAATCCCAGGCATTCTGACTCGGAGAACAGACTTCTGCTCAGGGAAACTGAGTCCATTGATGCTGTCCACTGTTTCTTCAGGGGCATTATTGTCCTTTGGCTGTTTCTACTCCAGTTTTACAGAGATTTACTCTGTTATTCTATCTAGTAACCAAATTGTGTTTGAAATTACTATAATGCTTTTCAAAATTTATACCTGTATTCATTTGTGATTTAAAGATTTAGAAGCCGAATAAACTTAGCACCATTTACATTTTAGATGTTAATAATTTCACTAGATTCCTTTAAAAACGTGAATATTTTTGTTTGGTTTGGTTTGCTTTTGGTCGTTTGATTGCCGTTTTGTTTGTTTATGTGTGTGATTGCTTTGCCTGCATGCTGTGAGTTGCTATATGGGTGCTGGAAACTGAAGCCAGAACAGTAAATGCTCTTAACCACTGAGCCATCTCTCCAGCCCCCTGGCTTTGGTTTCTGAGATAGGGTCTCATTATAATTAACAGTTTCAAACCATCCAACTTAATGGCAGTAATTACATTCAGAATGTTATACCTGCAACTATCTTTGTTTCCAAAACCCTCTCACACCCTCAACAGAGACATTGTACCTATTAAGCAGTAGCTTTCCATTCTCCCTCCGCCACCTATAACTACCCCTTGTCTAACTGTAGGTTTTCCCCACCCCGCATGTCTCTGCCCTGCCCCTTGTATATGGGGGCTTGGCCTGCATGTATGTCTGTGTTCCACTTGCATGCCTGATGCCCACTAAGCCAGAAGAGGGCATTGGGTCCCCAGGAACTGGAGTTACAGACAATTGTGAGCCACATGTGGGTCCTGGGGATAAAACTAGGTCTTCTGGAAGAACAGCAAGTGTTGGGTTTGTTTGTTTGTTTGTTTGTTTTTGTTGTTGTTTTTTACCACTGAGCCATTTCTCCAGCCCAGTTCTGTCTCTTTAAATGTGTTTGTCTTCAGTATTTCTTGTTTGTTTGTTTGTTTTGTTGAAACAGGGCTTCTTTTTGTATCCCTGGCTCTAGGTGAGTGCTGGGATTGAAGGCATGTGCCACTGTACCCAGCTTTGTTTTAACTATTTCATGGACATGGCACCATACAATTTTTGGACTTTTTTGTCTGGCTTTTTTACTTAGCATGTTTTCTAGAGTCCAGCCTTGTTATAACACACACCAGAACTTCATTGTTTTTTATGGTAGAGTAACATAGCAGTGTATTTACAGCCCCATTTTGTTTATTCATTCTTTTTTGAGACCGCTTTAGCTGTTCTGGAACTCCCGACTTAGATCAGGCCAGCCTCAAACTCAAGCCTGTCTTTGCCTTTCAAGTGTTGGGATAAAGGTTGTACCACCACACCTGGCTCTATTCCTCTTTTAATGGATATTTAGTTGTTTCCAGCTTTTAGCTACTGTACATAGTTCTGCAGTGAACACCAGCACTTAGGTATCCTTTTGAGTTTCTGTGTTTAGTTCCTTGAGTTATATGTTCAATATAAAAGCAAGCACCTATTCTAGTCACTGGTTTTTCTATCCTCTGTCACTTAGAATAATAGATGGCATTTCTTAATGTTGAACTAATCTGAATATCTGTCTGTGTGTCCTGGTGCTAGGCAGTAGATTGGATGCACAAAGGTTTGTGAGTGGCCCATAAAAGTAGTTAAAATCAGAGACTGATTTTTTGCTATTGTATTTCATCAAGGCAGATTGCCAGATTTAAACATCTGAGGAAGAATTTGTTTTAACCTAAGATTGCTAGAAACCAAAAGGCCATCTAGGTTGTGTTTCATTTTGTGTGGGTTTTTTTTTTAACAGTGAATGCATAAAAATACAACCAACTGACATCCAGCCCGATATATTCAGCTACTTGTTACATATTATGTACACAGGAAAAGGGCCAAAACAGATTGTGGATCATAGTCGTTTGGAGGAAGGGATCCGATTTCTCCATGCTGACTACCTTTCCCACATTGCAACTGAAATGAATCAAGTGTTCTCTCCAGAGACTGTGCAGACCTCAAATCTGTACGGTATTCAGATTTCCACAACCCAGAAGCCAGCTGTCAAACAAGGGCTGGAGATCAAAGAGACTCCTCCCAGCGGCAGTGGAAACAGAGCTGCTGTCCAGAGTGACCACCCCCAGCTGCAGCTCTCTCTGGCGATTGGCCTAGATGACGGAAGTGCAGAGCAGCAGAGGGCCCATCCTGCTGCCCAGGCCTTGGAGGAGCACCAGAAGCCCCCAGTGTCCATCAAACAGGAGAGATGTGATCCGGAGTCCGGGATCTCCCAGGGCCACTCCTCGTCCTCCTCAGAAGTGACTGGCCCCTCTTTTACAGAAAACAGTATCAGAGTCCACTTGTGCCATTACTGTGGGGAACGTTTCGAATCTCGCAGTAGCCTGAGACAGCACCTCCACACGCATGTATCTGGGTCTCTCCCATTTGGTGTCCCTGCTTCCATTCTGGAAAGTAATGACCTTGGTGAAGTGCATCCACTTGGTGACAGCAGTGAGGCTCTTGAATGCCGGAGGCTTAGCTCCTTCGTCGTCAAGGAGAATGAGCAGCAGCAGCAGCAGCCGCCGCCGCCGCCTGAGCACTCGAGCCGGGGTACTGCCGAGCCTTTACAGATCAGTCAAGTGTCTTTGATCTCCAAAGACACCGAGCCAGTAGAATTAAACTGTAATTTTTCTTTTTCAAGAAAAAGAAAAATCAGTTGTACCATCTGTGGTCATAAATTTCTTCGAAAAAGCCAGTTACTGGAACACATGTATACACATAAAGGTAAATCTTACAGATACAACAGATGCCAAAGGTTTGGAAATTCATTGGCCCAGAGGTTTCAGCAGTATTGTGACAGCTGGCCCGATGTCCCCCTGAAAAGTTCTCGGCTGTCACAAGAACATTTAGACTTGCCTTGTGCCTTAGAGTCAGAGCTCACACAAGGGAGTGTGGACACCATCCTTGTGGAGTAGCGGCTTCTCCTTTAGAATTTTATACCGCTTTTCATTCATAAATTATTTACCTTCTCATGGTCTGTTGACTTAAAATAATCTGTCCCTGGTTTTGAGGTTGTACATACCAGTTCTTATAAGATATGGATATTAAACATAACTTTCAAATTATCCCATAAGCTTTTTTATAAATTATAATTTGAAAACCAGAAGTTGATGTAGAAACTTTAGAGTGACTGATTATTTATAAAATCTCTTGTTTTTCCAGGTTGCAGAATCAGTAAAATGAACTTGACTATGAAGCAGATGAGATCTGTGTTAAAGAGTATTTTAGAGACTGGGAATGAAGCTCCTCTACAGAGGGCTTGCTAGCATGGGTGAGGCCCTAGGTTCAGTCTCCAGAGCGCACACGCACACACGCACACGCACACTTCTAAGCTGTTAACTCTTGTCTCTCGTTTCATAGGAATTATGTCCTTAAGAAAATGATTTTTAGCTGGGCGGTGATAGCGAACGCCTTTAATCCCAGCACTCGGCAAGCAGAGGCAGGTGAACTCTCTGAGTTCAAGGCCAGCCTGGTCTACAGAGCGAGTTCCAGGAAAGGCTCTAAAGCTACACAAAGAAACCCTGTCTCGAAAAAAACCAAAAAGAAAAAGAAAATGATTTCTAAGTATTTTCTGCCATATAGGAAATCAGTAGCTATTTTAATGTATAACTATATATTATAATGTATAAAAGTTTGTTTTAAGACATGGCTATACCAAATCACAAGTAGTTTTAACTGTCTGCTTCCTAGCATCCCAACCTCTTACATGGCCTTTTATTTACTTAACATCAAGTATACCTCATTTTTAATAAAAATATGTCAGCTAAAATAAAGGGCTGGAGAAGTCAGTGGTAAAGAAGTCGTGAACAGAGAAACTGGTCAGTACACATAACTAAGCACAGAGGCAGGTCCGTGCACTAACCCTGGGCCGGGTAACCACATCCACAGTGTGTCCTTAGACACCAGGAGGACAGTTTCAGACTTTGTAACGAGAGGTTTACCTAAGTTTAAAGAGGAAGATAGCAGGTACAAATCCTCTACCTTAATGTAGCAGAATCTTCTAGGCTGTCTGGGCTGACGGGAGTTTTCTGACAGTCACTCTTACAGGTAATTTTGCAGTGGCGTGGCCTTCACTTTTTTGTTAGTAGAACCAGTGAAGTAGATCCATTCAGATTCCAGACCTATTTAGAGCCACACCGGCAGCCCTCCTTCTGTGAATATACTTACCATCCCTCCTACAGCGGTGCCATTTAGAAACCTAAAACCCCAGGAAAATTGAAGTTGATGGACTAAGTGATGGATTTTCTGTACCTAGAAAATAGCCCATCGCGTTTCATTGTTTCTCACGTGTTTAAACCTGAAGCTCGTACTCAAGGACAAGAAGGCAAGAAAGACTGCGGAACAGCCCCCCCCCCTCCTTCCCCCATCCTATTGGAGTCTACGCTTCAACAGGCATTTGAGGGGCGTTTGAGATGGTCCTGACCCCCCCCCTCACCCCCCAGCTTGGAAACAAGAGTCTGGCAGTGTCCCCACTTCCCCAGGTCGGCCCTAAGCTCTGTATCAGCTTCCTGAGTGGCCAGGACTGTGGGCGTCCTACAGATACTTGAATATATCTAATAAATGTTGTTGTCGTCACGCTTAGACGTTAGCCACATGCGGTGTCTGAGCTCCCCCTCCCGCCATAGGACACCCCCGAAGTCAGTTCTTAGAGGTCCCACCACCTCTGTCTGGGAGGAGCCCAGAGCAATCCAGCTAATTCTGAAACAAGTTTTTCCCTGGGTAAACAGTGAGTTCAGGTGAATAACAAAGGAGTAGTTTCAGGGCCCTCTAGTCCCAGAACTCGTGTGAGTTCTCGGCCAGTTAGAGCTACATAGTGGGGCCCTGTCTCAAACGGACAAAACCACACCAAAGCAGCAGCTCCGTTGATCTTAGTTTTGTGAGACATCCTTGCTCTACGGCCCATGCTGTCCTTGAACTCACCACCCTCCTCTCCTGCCTCCTTAGTGCCGGGATTCTGGGCTGTACCACAGCTAGGCTTCCGAGTGGTGACTTTTGAGGGCCAGGTGAAGAGCCCCAGTGGGCATTGCCTTAAGGAAGTTGAATTTGTCACTTTGAGAATTAGCGTCCAGGGTCAAGACCTATGTGTCGAGAGCAAAATTGAGCTAATGGTAGGGCCTATTATATTGGGGGTTGGTTAAACTATGCTGTTATGGGGGGGTACAATTATATGTAATATTAAACTATTAATTTATCAAAGCAATATTCAGCCATACTACCTTCAATGATTTAACCTTATAGAAACTTGAATACTGATTTCATGTATTTTTAAGCTATTTAGGATATATTCCCTACTTTTAATTTTTTTTTTTTTTTTTTTTTTTTAGATAGAGTCACATTTAGCCCAGGCTGGCCCCAAACACTATATAGCTGAAGATGGCCTTAAACCCACTATCTGCCTGCTCTACCTCCGGGCACTGGCACTACAGGTGTGCTCCCCATGCCCAGCTCTCCCTAGCCTTCACAGATATAGAAGAACCTAACAGTTCTCATTTAAAACTTTTCAACTTCTCTATTAATCTTCCCTGCATACCAAGTCATTAGTCTTACACATAAGAAGCCCTTCTAGAGCTAAAGGGTGGAACAGAGATTTACTTCGAGGGTAGGTGAGTGGGTATAGCAGCTCACGACAATCTGGAGAGGTGCCAGAAGAGCATGCCTACAGCTCATGGCCATGTTAGACACTGTCTGTTTAAAGTGGAACTATATGTGTAAAGTTCTCAAAGAGTTAGTAAACATTTATCGGTAAATAAAATGGAGCCATGCCTAGAGTCTGGGGAGATCGCTCAGTGAGGAACGTGATTGCTGCTCACAAATTTGAACGTGAAGCGAGAGCTAGGTGTGGAGTCTGCCGTCCCCGTGCTGGCGGGGTGGGCAGAGGTGGGAAGGTGGGTAGCAGGTGCTCTCAGGCCAGCCCTGCAGAAAGAAGCTCCAGGTTCAGTGAGACTCTTGTCTCAAAAAACTGAGGTAGAGGAGCGATTGGGGGAAGACGTTGTGTTACCAGTCTCTGGCCTCAACACATGTCCACATGAGTACACACACCCATACACATGCACGCACCCCCCCCCATACAGAATAAATAAGAGGAACTCTATCTCTATAAGCTTTAAGAATTTATTAGTTCACCTGACTCCTATCGTTCTCAAAGTTCTTCAGTGCTAAGCACTTCACTTGATTCCTCCCCTTATCTATAAAGTTTCTTTTGATATTAAACCAAAAAGACAAAATGCTGGGTCTTGCCCATCTGTAACCCCAACTGTCAGTAGACAGGCAGGACTGTAACTTCGGGACTAGCCTGCAGCTACATGGCAAGACCCTGACTCAAGAGAAGAAAAAAAAATTAATTGTTCTCAGTCCACAATAACATTGTTTTAGGAAGTGGAGAAATGTTAGTTTCATTTTATGGAAAAAGTTCCCCAAAGCTAGTTTTCGGAGAGGCATGTAGTAAGTGGTATGGGACCTGCTGTTACTTCGTTTCAACTTTTAAAAGAAGATTTGTCTATCTTCATGTTCCGTGTTTGGGTGTTTTGCCTGTGTGTGTATGTGCACATCCTGCATGCAGTGTCCACGGAGACCAGGAAAGGACATCAGATCCTCTGGAACTCGGGGGTGTGGGAACTGAACCCAGGTCCTCTGCTAGAGCAGCCAGTGCCCTTCAGCACTGAGCTGTCTCTGCAGCCTGGTCTGGTGTTTTGAGGTGAGGTCTCACTGTGTGGCCCGTGCCGGCCTGGAACCTGAAACAATCCCCTGTGGACCTCCAGAGAGCTGGGATGGCAGATGTGCAGATCGTACCTGCAGCCTGGATGGTTTTGGTTTTGGTTTTGATGTTTAAGGACGTGCTTCTTCATTGGAAGAAAAAAAAAGTCTTCATATTTTAAAAGTTTTCCCAGAAAAACAACAACAACAACAACTTTACTTTTTGCCACATCTGCAAAATGGAGCGTCGTCTCTGCCTTAAGCAGTGTGGTTTGTGTGATGGTTGCCAAGCTGAACCAGGAGTTGCCGGATGTACTTTGTTGCCAAATGTCGCCCTCTTGTGTTGAGGTAAGTCGTCTCTGCTGGGTAACATTTTGAAGGCATGGCTGGGGGAAAAAAGCCCCAGTTCTGAGCAGAATCCCTGTATTGGGCAGGTACTAAATAGCTCTTCCCCGTTTGGGTCGGCTTTAAATCGCCCCTTCTTTCCAGATCCTGCATAGTGCTGTTTCCTGAAGAAAAGAAGAGCCTGTCTCAGTATTTATTCTTAGTAGGAGAGCCCAGTAAATGCAGTCTGCCTTAAAACTGATGTTATTTTTTAATTTGTAACCTTGAGCCGGTTACTTACCTCTCTGAGACACACACACACACACACACACACACACACACACACACACACACACACACCGGGTAAAGTGGCCGTCAACAACGCCTACCTCACAGGGGTGCTGTGAGGCTTCGTACTAAAATTGTGTTAGTGTACTGATGAAAGCCAACCGAGGAGGAAGTTCAGAAGCCCATCCTGTAGATTAGAACGTGTGATGTAATTGTGCACTACTTAATAGTCAGGTAACTGAGGAAACTCATTTTTACAGAAATACTCTGGAAATAGCTTTTTACTCTACTATTTCTACCCAGTAGTACAAGGAAAACAGGACTTAGCATTATTGGGAATAAAGTACACCGATTTCAGCATTAATGAATCTTCCCCAAATACATTATGTTCATATTAGAAAAGGAACAAAGAAAATGGGGGGGGGGAGTCCCATCGTCCCTTGGATGAAGATGGTCTAAGTAGTAAATGGAGGAAAGAGATGGAGTGAGGACAGTCCACAGGACCTCTTCAGTGTTCTTCTGAGGGAAGCTGGAGAAGCGGTCACAGAACCCAGTCGTGAAGAGAACAGTGTGGAGAGCAGACAGTTCTGAAGCCTGTGTGTACAGGCAGACTCGATACTGAAAGTTGGATTCCTGACGAATACTTGATGGGTATTTTTGTGGTAACTGTGCTAAAAGTCGGTCATGTGGAGAACTCTCATGTAACTTGTGTGTTTTTGTGTACTTAAACTAAATATGTCTGTGGCGTTTCATTATAATAAGTTGTTAAATTCCTAGGAGCGAATCCTGTAAATGCTGTGCTGAACCACATTTGTGTAATTGGTCTTTCTTTTGACTCTGGTCTGTCACATGGCGGTCCTAAATGTGGAGGTCTTAACTGCAAGTATCCCAAACTGACTCTCATCCTAGATTGGGAGAACCCATTATGTTTCAGTGTGTGTGTGTGTGTGTGTGTGTGTGTGTGTGTGTGTGTGTGTGTGTGTGTGTGTGTGTGCTTATGTTCACTTGATTCCTTAGATGCTGCTTCAGCAAAGCTCCTATGCTATGTACTGATCACCATCACCTCACCAGAGTAGATCAGAATAGAAACTTCAGCTAGTTTAAAAGAAACTCAGACCTGGCCTGGTGCCACACACCTCTTTCAGCACTCAGGAGGCCGATGCAGTAAGGTGGTGAGTTCAAGGCCAGGCTGAGCTTATTTCTTAAAATGAAAGAGTCTAGAGAGATGGCTCCGTGGTTAAGAGCACTGGCTGCTCTTCCAAAGGACCCACATTTGTACTGAGCACCCATATCAGGCAGCTTACAACACCTCTAGCCTCCGAGGCACCTGCATTCGTGTGCGCATGCCCGTGCACAGATACACATAATCAAACAAACCTAAGAACTGAGATAATAGAAAAGGCCAAGTGAAAGAATCCTCAGATTATCAGGCGTACATGGCGAGTGCAGGACAGTGTGCTGTAGGGTTATACTTCTGTGTGATGGCCTCAGGACTACTCCCCAGAGTTTAGTCTCCCCACTGCTGCAGAAACTGTCTTTCATCTATGCTATGAAGACCTAGGTGGCTTGATCTAGTGACAGCAGAATGCTAGCTTGTGGGTCTGATCTTTCTTTACAGCATTTTCTGCCCATGTTGTTACCTTTGTTAAGTAGTCTCTGTTAGATAACTTTAAAAACAATTGTAATGTCTATGAGTGGTTTTCCTGCACATGTGTATTTGCACCATATAGATTCCTGATGCCCGTGGAGGCCAGAAGATAATGTCTGATCTGGAAGTGGAGTTACAGGTGGTTACGAGCCACTATGCATGTGCTGGAAACTGAATTTGGGTCTTCAGTAAGAGCAAGGGGTGCTCTTAACCACTGAGCCACCTCTCAACCCCCCTCTTACATTTTAAGACATGATGCCAAAAGTATGAATGGGCCCAATTCTTACCAACCATAGCCTGTGGCAAGAGAAAAGTGCTGTTCGAATCAAGAAAGTTCCAACTGGAAAGAAAAGTGATATTTAGTAATTTCTCAGAGGCTTCTTGCTTTTACTTCCTGCTTTATACTCTGTTCTCTGTCCCCAGCAACATAATCTACAGCAGTGATTCTCAGGGTATATTGGGATTCCCAGGAAAGAAGAGGAAGAGGAAGAGAGAGGCAGGTAGATGTTACATTGACTTATGGCTGTTGTGGTGGTGCACTTGGGAGAAAAATAGCAAGAAAAACACTGAGTTCAAGCCAGTCGGGTCTACTTAGTGAATGCCAGGCCAGTTGGAGCTACATAATAAGAGCCTATCTCAAAAAAATTAGTAAATATGACCTTGATTCATGCCTTGATGGTGACAGAATTATGAAAAACTATATTCTATAAGCTGAGTGCTGGGGAACTAAATGATGTAATTCTGTTGTTAAGTCCAAAAAAGACATATAGCCAGAGAGTTATTGAAATAAATTCCAGTCCAAAAACTAAGAGACCTGGAATGATCTGATGTTTGAATTTTTGCCCAAAGTTAGGAAAAGATGGGTCTGTCAGGCAGGGGAAGGTCACCTTTCTGTTCAGGCTTCAGCTGTTAAATGAAGGCAGTCTCTTTACCCAGTCTGCTAATGCTCTAATTCCCAGACGCCACAGCAGAAACAGATGTGATGGCTGACACCGTAGTTCCAGTAAGTTAGGCTGACGTGGGAGACCAGCCTGAGCCAGGAGACCTTGTCTCAAAAACAAAACCGAACAAAAAGCACCTTCACACCTATTCGGAGTAGGGGACGGGAATGTGGCTCAATAGAGTGCTTGCTTGGTGTATACAAGGCCTCACGTTCAGTCGTGCAAAACAATAAATACACAAAAATATAGCCCATAGTTCAGCCAACACAAAATTAACTGACTAAAAACTGTCTTCACCACGTGGATCGTTGGCAATGTGGAGATGTTTGGGGTAGCTCTGCCTGGGTGGAGGGCATAATAAGGTTGCCATTGGCATCTAATGGGTGGAGACCACGGGAGTTACTGAACGTGCCGTAATAAGAAGGGCGTCTCTCATTCCTACCCCACTCAGTTGCCCACTAAGGTGTCGGTAGAGTTGTGGTTGATTAGCTCCTGTCTAGAAGCGATAAATCTTGTGATTGTGCCTAAGGGCACAGAGGTTGGGGATTTCTATCTAGTCGTTTTGGAGTTAAGACTGATCTAATGGAATGTATGCTGTGCTTGTTCCAAAGTCAGTTCTATTTGTGGTGTCCTTTATCTCGGCTCTTAGAAAATTTAAGATTGGGTTACTAGAGTCAGAAGTAGAGCTGCAGAAATGCTGAGAAGGTAGCGTGCCACTTGCACAGCATCAGGACCTGAGTTTGTATCCCCAGAGCCCACATAGAAGGCCTGCGCTGCTACACCACCCGTGACTACAGTATGTGGTGAAGATGGGGCCCCCGGGTGGACAGGTGGATTCCTGAAGTCCATTGTTTCAGTGAGAAACCCTGTCTCCAGATAAAAAGATGGAGAGCTGTGGAAGAAAGACCCACATACAGCCTCGTGTGCACACGCGCCCACCCGAGTACGTACATACAACACATTACAGACACAAGTAAAATAAAATCAGATACATTCATCCACAAAAATACCCAGTCATTTTGTCCTGGAGCCCAGGCTGGCCTCAAACTCATAATCCTTTGACCCCAGCCTCTCACATTCTGGGATTATAGACACATGCTTCCACTTTCAGGTCAAGACGGTTTTAAATCTGTTTGTGTTTAAAGTAATTGTACCTCTAAATTCTGTTAAAAGAAAAATGTGGCCGGGAGGTGGTGGCGCATACCTTTAATCCCAGCACTCGGGAGGCAGAGGCAGGCAGACCTCTGTGAGTTCGAGGCCAGCCTGGGCTACAGAGTGAGTTCCAGGACAGCCAGGGATACACAGAGAAACCCTGTCTCGAAAAACAAAAAACAACAACAACAACAAAAAAAAAAAAAAAAAGAAGAAGAAGAAAAATGTGATCGTAGTTTATAATCTATGCGAATTTTAATTTGGCCAAAAGATGGCACCAGTGTACCATAAAAATGGGTCTTCTGCTCACTTTTGACATTACTCTTCAGCTTATTAGGTGTTTGATGAGCTGCATCTGGACCTTCCCTTACTTTACAGTCCATTCTTGACATCCCTCTGCATCAGCAGACAACAGCACACTTATGGGTGGACTCCTGAACAAGTCTGGGGATGTTCGCATGTCATTAAGAGCAGAGCCATGGGATTTTATTCCAATGACATTGACTCTCCTAATCCTATATCAGACTCAGTTAATGTTTTACGTGCCTGAGAAGTAAATGGAGTCAGTCAAGGAAATCCTGCTTTGCTTGGTCCTTCCCTTTCATTCTTTCAATGGCAAATATTCATTCGCAGAGTGTTGGATTTCATCAGCCAGTTTCAAGCATACCGTGTGCTTTGACCATAACCGTCCCCTCCCATTCCCTTCCCCACCCATTTGTCTCTCCCGGTCTCCCTTTTAAATTGTTGTTGTTGTTTTGTATGTATGCATGTATGTATTTTTTTATTTGTTTGGATCAGTTATGAAGCTCTGGCTATTCTGGAATGCACTGTGTAAACCAGACTGGCTTCAAACATACAGAAATCCATCTACCTCTACCTCCCATCACTGGCATTAAAGGCATGCGCCACCGTGCCCGCCTCTCCTACCTCCTCCCTTTTATGTCTGTATGAGGCAGGAAAACGAGCAATAAAAGCATGTGTTTCCTTTCAGCATCCACCTTTGTTGTCTTAGCATCATCTCCAGTTACCTCCATTTTCTGGCAAATGACCGTCTCGTTCTTGTGGCTGGATGACACTTGTGTGTATGCCTACCATCTTTTCTTCATACCCCAACTTGGCTATTGTGAATTGTGCTGTAGCAAGCACAGATGTGGAAGTATCTCTGTGCCATGTTGATGTGGAACTATTCAGGTGTGTACCCAGAAGAGGTACAGCTGGGAAACAGTACCAAGGGCTGACAGGTGGGACTGTGTGAGATTTAAAAGCAGGCGTAGTGTTGTGCCTCGTTAATCCCAGACAGGGTCAGGAGGGTCTCTCTGAGTTCGAGGCCAGCGTGGTCTACAGAGTGAGTTCCAGGACTGCCAGGGCTACCCAGAGAAACTCTGTCTCAAAAACACAGGAGGAGGAGGAGGAGGAGGAGGAGGAGGAGGAGGAGCTCCAATAGCAAAGGAAAGAGTAAATGGCAATCCGCAGAAGAGAAGAAGACCTTTCCTAGCTGTGCATCTGACGGGATTGCTATCTAGAGTATATAAAGAACTCAAAGAGCTGAACACACTTACCCCAAACCAAAAACAATCCAGTCACTACACAGGCTAATGGACTAAACAGCCAGTTCTTGGAAGATGGAGTCCAAATGGCAAGGAAACCTTAAAACATGCTCAGCATCCTTAGCCGCCACTGAGGTACAGATTAAAGCCACGTGGAGACTCCGTCTCTGCAGTCGGAAAGGCTGCATCAAGAAAACAAAAGAGCCGGGCGGTGGTGGCGCACACCTTTAATCCCAGCACTCGGGAGGCAGAGGCAGGCAGATCTCTGTGAGTTCGAGGCCAGCCTGGGCTACAGAGTGAGTTCCAGGAAAGGTGCAAAGCTACACAGAGAAACCCGGTCTCGAAAAACAAAACAAAAAAGAAAACAAAAGGAGCCAAATGAATGGAAACACATGAACTATGAACCAATAGCTGAGGAGCCCCCAACTGGATCAGGCCCTCTGGATAAGGGAGACAGTCGATTAACTTGATCTGTTTGGGAGTGGTACCAGGTCCTGTCCTCAGTGCATGAGTTGGCTGTTT